TGCCAAAAAAAAAAAAAAAACCGAACAATATTTTGGTCAACCGGCTGGCCTAACGTCCGGGAGGGTGACCGGGTAGACTTGTTTTCAAAATGGGGGTGGAATCAATTTTTGAAAACGCTAACTAAACATCACAGTAAAAGCAAAGGGTGGAATTAAATTTAGAAAGCTCTACCAAACAGAGCTTAGTTTCTCTCTGTAACCCTTAAGGGTTGACCCCTAATTCGGGATTTGTTCTCTCTCTCTCTCTCTCCGATTTCAGATTTTTGATTGCATCAATAATTCATTTGAAAATTGATCTTTAGTGTCCAAAATTACACATGACATGATCAATGTTTTGAAACCCGAACCGTTGATCAAACCGGAAAAGGGAGGGTCAAGGGTCATTGGTTCAACCGTTGGGTCAACCGGAATCAAACCGTGATGTCATAATTACCTCATAAATATATTTAAAATTATACTTAAATAGAGAATATAAGTTTTTAATAGTTTCATTTATATTAATTTATATTTTTAAGATATATATTTTACATAATATATTTAATGACTATATTATTTTATAAATATATTTATACTGATTATTTTAAATAAAATAAGATTTACTTTGAGATAAATAAATTGAAGTTAATAAATACTTTAAGTAGTACAAAGTATTAATGAAGCATCATTGTAGCTCGGTGGTGGAAGTGTTGGAGACTATGCAGAAGGTCCAATGCTCAAACCTTGGTTACAGCATTTTTGCAATTTTCATAATCATGCATGTGGTGCTTCCTTGGGCTTCCAGCGCTGTTGGTTTCGTCACCTGACTACCGGTTCCGCCAGGTAGCCGGTTTAACTGTGGGTTTTTCTGGTTTAACAAAAATAGACCGGTTCAGAGTCTTAAACGGGTTTGGGGGTGCATCTGGACCGGAACTTGGGCTGGTCGACGGGTCAACTAATTGAACCTGCCGGTCCGGTGCAGTTTAATAAACATTGGACATGATTCCTATGCGCACTAGAAAACAAAATTTGAAGTGCATTTATAAAGAAGTGTGTGTGGAATAACGTAAAATGGACGCATTTTCCATATCGTTGTTCCCAAAAATAGGGGGAAGGTGAGGGAATGGATTAAGTGTATGAAACAAATTTCATAATTTCTTTAAAATAGAATAAAAGTGTTTTTTTATTTTATGTTTATGAATGGAAGTTTTAGTAGTTAATGTAGAAAATTATAAAATATGTGGAAAGGTTTTGTTGAGTTGAATTGAGTTTCTTCTACTTTTGATAGGCATTTTGCCATTTTCTGAAAAACTTTTAAGGAATGAAATCTGAAAATTTACTCTATGGTCATTTTTTAGGATAAAATATTTCGAAGTAATAATAAACAGCAAGTGAGTCTGGTTACGCATGTGCAAGCCAACACTTTTGACTTGTGTCAAACATGTATGTCATTGCTTCTATGTATAATTATTGAACGATGCTTTGTTGAATCTATGATGTTACTATAAGCAAGGGTGCTCCTCATATAGCACTAATAATATTAAGTTCATATCCAGGAGGAAGTTGCCAAAGAGTTTGGTGTACCCGTGCAATTTCAACGTTTCTGGCTTTGGGCAAAGCGTCAAAACCAACAATACCGTCCAAATCGCCCGTTGACACCTCAGAGGAAGTTCAATCCGTAAAGACTTTCTGACTTTGCATCTTTTATTGTCTTTCAGTATACTTCTTTATGCATTTTTCATTTTTTATTTAATTGTTGTTATTATTTTTTTGAGTTACTTCCACAACTCCATCGTGCAGGACTCCAAGACTCGCTCTTGCTTTGATGCACCTTCACAATATGTGTGTTTATTGATTTGTTTATCATCAGTTTTACATGACTCTTGCTTTTTCCCAAGTTAACCATGCTTTGTTGCACCTTCATTCTCTCATGTTTTGCCCTTGATGTTTTAAAATATTCATTGTCTCATGGTTTACATCCCTTCCTAGTGATGACTTGTTTTAAAGCCGTGAGCCTTGGCAAAGCAAACAATATCATTATTGTTTATGATGAGGGCCTACGTGGCCCGTTGGTGGTGGGTTTCATTAGAGTTGGTTGGGAGCGCCCATCTCTAGTGCAATTAGTGGACCAAGTTGGTAGGGGCAGTTCAAAACATTGATGTGGAACTTGGAGGTAAGAAGAGGGAGGTTTCTCTAGTCGGCTCAATTATATTGGGGCCTAAAGAAAATGCCCCTTATCTGTTTTACAGAAGAAAACTAATAGGCTTTTGGATTGGGAGCTTACCTGAGAGTTGCAAGGATGGGGGGAAAGACCCTGGCAATGTCAGGTGAACATCTGAATGAGAAGTTTGTCCAGATGAGGTAGAAGGTAAGGGGCTTGGGAAATTTTGGGGTGGGGAAGATTTGATTACAGAAAGGGATGGATTGTTGCAGGAATCTGGGGCTCTAACGGGGGAAGTCTTGGGGCTGGAAATGGGAGAATTGGAGGAGTAGGGTGCAATGGTTATGGCAGAGAAATCATTGGCCTCGGTTGTTTGGGAAGAGGGGTGCAGTATACAGGGGTGTAAAGGAGTCATTCTTTTTTAAAAATCTTATAGTAACTAAAATCCTAGTCATGTGTTCTTGACAAGTATATCCTGTACACTATATAGGCTATCATGAACATTGAGAAACAAGCTGTATTTTTGGTTATTCTGATTGGATGAATTTAGGGTGGCTGTTAGAGCCATTCATTTGCAAAGAATCATTCTTATATTCTCCCTCCCTCCATCCCACAATGTTATCTCTTTTGGGAATTTCAAATTTTTAAGTGAACATGCAATTAATGCACTCAAATTCAAATTAAAAAGCATTGGTTCTCAACATTGCCCTTTTTTTATATCACATTTTAAGTAACTGTTTTATATGGGATAGTTTTGAAATTTCAGAACAAAAAATTTATGCCTTAAGTTTTTTCCTTGCTTTGCTGTAAGAAAATGGTTCGCCTAATGCTTTTACCTTTAAAAGCTTCTGGATAATTAATGAATAGTTTCTTGTGCAATTCCAATTCCTGTTTTGCCAATATATGTTGTTTTTGATGCAGACAAATGCATTCACGTTTGTAAAAGAGCTTGAAGTATTTGACGCTGGTGGCTGAATTGAGCCTTGATGCCTTCGACACAATTTTATAATGCCACTTGGCTGAGTTTTAGGGTCCCATGAACTCATGTAATCGAGTCATTTCAAGTTCTCTATGGAGTTTTGTTACTTATGTTGGGTCATTTTATTTTTTCTGGTAGCAATTTGAATCCAGGTTTCTGCAGTCTGAAATTTAGTTGCATAAAGCGGAAGCGGGGGTGGGGCACATAGAAGAGTCTAAGGTTGATAGTGCCTATTGGGGCGTTATAATATTATATTATGGGTTGTTGGGATGATCTAAATAAGTACACTTTTTGACTTTTTATGAAATATGGGTTGGGTATGGGTTGTGTTTGAAGTGATGTTGTAGAGAGTTGATGTGGCTTAAATAAGATGATATGACTTAAATAGAATAGTGACTTTTTGACTTTTTTGGCTTTTTGGCTTTTTTAGTTTATGCCAAACAAGGCCTATATATGTAAATATATTAAGATGTTGTAAATCTATTTTTGTTTTTGTTTTGATATATAATATAATATATTATAATATGAATAAATATTGGAGATTGGTGTTAACTACAAATTGTTATAAGTAAATGTTACATAAATACAAGTACTAGAATAAATTTGAGTTATTGTTTACTATAATCTGATAGCCTCTACAAAATTTCTCTTGCGTGGTAGCTTTTCTTTTTATTTTTTTGGAATTCATATGTTCGAGAGATTTCATCTTAGTTGGAAACCCTGTTCTTTCTTGATGCAAGTGTGATGATAACTGGATTTTGTTTTGAATCGTGGAATCATATTTTTGGAGTGGATTTGTCAATTCTAGGACATTCCTGCAACTAAGTTTTGAAATTTTTGTTTAAGTTTTCAAAATCTGTTTTCTGTATTTTTTTTCCTAAAAAAAACTAAAAAACCTAAAAACTAGTTTGGTAAAAAAACTGAAAAAAATAAAAGCACTGTTCATTTCCATATGATTTTCTCTTGTTTGGGAAAAATTGATTATTTATAATTTGAGAATAATTTTTTGGTGTTTATTTTCATTAAACTAGTTTTTTTTTTTCTTCCTCAAAATAGAAAATAGATTTTGAAAACTCAACCAAACAGAGAGATTTCTCAGACATGTGTTATTTTTTATTAGCAACCTCTTAAAAACTCAAATTTGTTGCATAAATAGATGCTTCTGTTTTTTTCCAGTTAAGTTGCCTGTTTATTCAGTAAATATGGCCGGGTGTGTTTATTCAGTAAATACACCATCTTTTATGGATGAGTAAACTGTTTTCCCCTACTCTCTCTGTGATTGTGTAGTGTCTGGTGTGCACACTGGCAAGTCTTGCAAGTTAATTTGCATCCTTCATACTTCGAAGGAAAATAGTTATCTATACTTCAGCAGTGAATTTTTGTTTTACTGAGTAGTCCAATCCCCTTAAATAATTATGTTTTCAAGTATTCTATGCTCTTTGAGGAACAGGGAGGGAATATGCATATTTGAGTCACTCTATAATTGATGATGATATCCTTACGGTTCTGTACCGTTGTGTCATTTTCTGATCTCCTCTCCTAGCATGCTAAGATGACATCTTTCATGCATTCTGTTTAAAGTGTATCTTGACTAAACTGGTGTGGTTTTAAAATCCCTTCAATGCATTCTAGGTTGGACAATTGAGAGAGGTATCCAACAAGGCAAATAATGCAGAGCTAAAATTGTTCTTAGAAGTGGAAAGTGGACAGGTAAATTCTATTTCATTTTTTTGGCACTGGTTACTCACATTGTTTTATTATGAACTTCTGTTTTGGTTAAGTCATATGAGTTTTATGATATGCACATGGAACTCTAGATGTTGAATATGATGTGCACACTATGCAGGATTTGCGGCCGATTCCTCCACCTTTGAAGAGCAAAGAGGAGATTCTTCTTTTTTTCAAACTTTATGAGCCTCTGAAAGAGGAGCTTAGGTACTTAAACATTTTTTCCTTGGGTTGGAATTGCATGTAATTACCAAGGCCCCTTTGTTTCCCTTTTCGGTTAGTTACTGAGGCTTATTTTTTTTCATTTTTCCCCCCTGTTGTCAGGTATGTTGGGCGGTTGTTTGTGAAGTCGAATGGCAAGCCAGCAGAAATATTGACAAAGTTAAATGAGTTGGCTGGATTCAGTCCTGATGAAGAAATTGAACTCTTTGAGGTCAGTTATGTCATTTAGTAGATTGACTACAATTTTCTTGCTCCCTTGCCTGGCCACATAACAACAGATTTAGTTCAGGCAGTCATCTTATGCATCCCTTTAATGTTCAGGAAATAAAATTTGAACCTAATGTCATGTGTGAACGCATTCAAGAAGCTCACCTTTCGTGGTAGTCAGGTATGAACATGATCAATTGTGAGCTGTTTTTGCTTGTACATTCTGCTCTGGTGTGTATAGCCTATTCTTTTTTTTTGGTGGTCGGATATGCATTAACCATGACTAGCTGAAAGGAAATATTCACCTAAATCTTCTGCAGCTTGAAGATGGTGACATCATTTGCTTTCAGAAATCCACTCAAGTTGAAAGTAGTGAACAATGCCGCTATCTGATGTTCCTTCATTTCTGGAATATGTGCATAATCGTCAGGTATTCCATGAGCCTTCACAATGTGACATCATTATCTTAGAGCTTTTATGCAACATTGTGAGCATGCCAAATTTTCTGATAACAAGGTCAAGAGTATAGGACTCTTTGGAGGCTCTCACATGCCAAACCTTTGAAATTTATTGAGCACAATTAAATACTGACTCAACCACTAGTTTAACATTATGTCACAAAAATCCAAGCTCACAAGCCAGTGAATTCCTTTTATTTTTTGATTGCCCACAAACTCGACATTCCGGAAGGAATCCAAATGGCTAAAATTGGGATCCACAAAGTTACATGGATGCAAACTCATGTTACATGGACTCTTATATATTTCACAAGGTTCATGTGTCCACGGATATGACAAGAGTAAGAGTGTTGGATACGTGTCGAACCTATACCCGATTAGACACGTGAATACTCAAATTTTTTATTATGTCACATAATGCACCTCTCACAACCCCCAAAGCACCACTGTCACCTACTTCCCATAGTCCACCATCGCTTGCTGCCCATAGTCTACAACCCCCAAATCAATTGGGCAACAAAAAACCCCATGTTTCTCTGTCTACACTAAGAAATAATACGTTCATAAAATGTTTGTAACTGAGATGAGGATATGGTTAACTAGATATTTGGTCGAAGTACAAAAGACAAAATAAAAAATGAATTGCTGGAAATTTGTGTTAATAACAATATAATATGATAGTGGTTGTGGTGGTAGATAGTGGCCATGTATAGAATATAGATAGTGGTGTTGGTGGTAGATAGTGGCATGTATAGAATTATGATAGTGGTGTTGTGGTAGATAGTGGTAATAATAATATGTAATGGCATTAATGGTTATAATGATGTTTGTAATATCTCCTATATAAGGAGTGTCATTTGGTCTTGTTAAAATAAAAGTTTTGAATTATAACAGAAATATTATTTCTTTTCTTCCCATATTTTCTAAGTTAGGAGTTCTTCTTCCTCATATTTTCAAGTTGGTATCAGAGCAACAAAAAACGCGGCAGCCCTAAAACCGTCATAGCCATGTCGGAAGTCACGTCCGAAACCACTTCAACCCCTGCCGCTGCCATTCCGGTGAAAACGTCCAACTCTCACTCTGTCCAAATCACCACCATCCGCCTAAATGGTGATAATTTTCTCCGCTGGTACAATCTGTCCGGATGTATATTCCGTGGGCAAGGAAAGATCGGTTACATCACTTGGTGACAAGAAGGCTCCTGCTGTTAATGATCGCTGTTCGACAGTTGGGACGCTGAAACCCAGGTTATGACATGGTTGGTCATTCTATGGAGGAGGATATAAGCTCTAATTACATGTGCTATCCTACTGCACCAAGAATTTGTGGGATAATGTTAGTCAGATGTATTCTGACCTAGGAAATCAATCTCAAGTTTTCGAATTAACTTTGAAGTTGGGAGAGATTCGTCAAGGAGATGATTCCGTCACCAAATATTTCAATTCGCTTGAAAAGGTTGTGGCAGGATCTTGACATCTTCAACACATACGAATGGAAATCGGTTGACGACTGCAACCACCACAGAAAACTGTGGAAGACAGCCGTATTTACAAGTTTCTTGCCGGCCTCAACATTGAGTTCGATGAAGTGCGAGAAGAATTATTGGCAGACCTCCTCTTCCCATCCATTGGCGAATATTTGCCGAAGTCAGAAGGGAAGAGAGCCGAAGGAGCGTCATGCTTAAGAAAAAGGTACTGGTGAATCAATTGAAATTTCTGCTTTAATTTAGCATGCTGCGGGCCCAACAAGGCTGCAAATTACCAGCGCAGGTTTTGATGATAAGCCACGGGTCTGGTGTGATTTTTGCAAACAAGCCTCGCCCATAAACACGCGAAACGGTTGGAAGATCCATGGCAAACCTGTCAACTGGAAAAGCAGCAAACAAGGAGAGAAGAATCGTGGCTTTCCTACTGCTAAATGAAGCCGATTCAGGTCCCTTCAACAAAGAGCAGATTGATCAACTCTTAAAGCTGATAAAATCCAACTCCTCATCCGGTACTCCTAGTGTTTTTGTTGGCACAAACAGGTAGAAATCTAAAGCCTTCTCTTGCCTAAACTTCTCTCCGTGGACATATAGATTCCGGTGCCTCCGATCACAATGACTGTTTTTTTCCCATTTATTTAATACCTATTTTCCCTTGTTTCTGGTCATGACAAAATCAGAATAGCGATGGTAGTTTTTCAGCTATTGCAGAAAAGGATTTATTAAACTAACTGAGAAAATTAATCTCAATGCGTTCTTCACGTCCCCACTTAGCCTGTAACCTTTTGTCTGTCAGTAAACTATCTAAGGATTCTAATTGTCGTGTTTACATTTTTTGAATCCCATTGTGAATTTCAGGACCAGAACTCGGGGATGAGATTGGGCGTGCTAGATGCTGTTGAAGGTCTTACAACTTTGATGAAGGTACCTGTTAGTAAATAAAAAAAAGGGCTCAAAGGGAGGGCTTTTTAATTAGTACTCAGTTCAACTCTGTTCGAGAAAAAAATAATGTCTATGGCACTATAGGCTTAGGAACATCCTAGTTTTTTCTTTACTGAAAACATTTATTTTTCCAGAATTATTTCAAGGATTGATTGTTTCTTCTTTCATTGTGAAAGTTGCATTTTTTGTAAAATTGGTGGCATCGCTCTACTATTTGCCAAACCTTACCAAAGAACTTCCCAAACCTTTTATTTGATTCATAGTGATGTTTGGGGCCCTTCTAAAATCACTACTCTTTCTGGTAAAGATGGTTTTGTTACATCTTATTGATGACCATACCCGCTTATGTTGGATTTATTTTGATGAATTAAAAAAAATCTGACGTGAAAATTATTCACAAATTTTTACAATATGATTTGAAAACATTCAACCAAAATTTCGGTATTTTACCATCTGATAATGGAACAGAATATTCACTGAGCAGTTGGGTGAGGTTTTGGAAAAAAAGCGGAATTTTCAATCAATCTACATGTCGGTGATACCCCTCAACAAATGGACATTGCAGAACGAAAAAATAATAAACATCTACTTGAAGTTGCACGTGCTATAATGTTTTTACATGCATGTTCCCTAAATATTATATGGGGTGGAATGCAATTTTACAGCCTCTTATTGATAAACAGGATGCACAAAAGGTGTTAACATACAAAACAACCTTTCGATTGTTCAAACTTTTTTCCTGACACCGAGGTTGTGTTTTCTATTTTACCCGCCACAAGTTTTTGGATGTATCTGCCTCTGTTCATTGCTTCCTAGTCAATTCGTTCAAAAACTTTGACCCCCGGCTATAAATGTGTCTTTGTTTGGTTATTTCCTCAAACAAAAAGGTATAAGTGTTTTCGATCCTCAAACCAAGAAATTCATGTGAGTATGGATGTTGATCCATTTGTGGAAACAAATTCCTATTCCCCAACCTTCTTTCAGGGGAGACAAGTGGAGTAGAAGACCGTTTTGGGATATTTCTATCCGCTCCCCAATGTCCTTTATCCTACACAAAAAACCACATCTGTCTGATAATGATCATTAGGAAGAACCCAAGTTCATGGTGCCTAGTCAAGAAAATGTCTTGTTTAGGGGTGAGAAGAACTACAAAACTGACTAAATCCTGACCTCTCAGGTTTATACTAGGAAGCGATTTTCAATCTGAAGAATAATGACCTGAATGTTCATCCTAATGACCCGAATAGTGCCCACCCGAGTTCTGGCATCGAAATTTTAGTAATCCTATTCCTTACTATTTCCGACCTGATGTTCTACTAGCAAATTAGGAAGGTGTCCGAAATTGCATTAAACATCCTAATTGCAAAGTTAACCTCTCCTAATCAAAGATGTTCTAAAAACCAATAGAGCTTTTCACTCGTAGGAATTTCACACTTGTTTGTTCCAAAAAATATACAGGAAGCAATTGGATGATCGAATTGGAAATTTAGCAGTCAGGAGGAGATGAATGCATTTAGGAGAAGTGTACTTGCGAGATGCTTGATCTACCCATAAGACAAGAAAACAGTTGGTGTACAATGGGTGTTTACGATTAAAATGTTAACGCAGAATGAACGTTGAGAGATACAAGGCGAGACTGGTTGGCTAAAGGCTCACCAAACTTATGGGAATCGACTTCAGGAGACGTTTTGCTCCTGTTGCTAAAAATAAATATCATCAGAGTACTGTTATCTCTGCAGTAAATCAGATTGGCCTTACATCAACTTGACCTTAAGAATGCATTTCTTCAATTGGTGGATCTTGAAGAGGAGGTGTTCATGAGCCTACCGCGGGATTTGACAGAGACTTGAAAGCGATCAGAGTATGCAGATGAAATCTCTCTCTTTTCCTATTATTTTTATATTTTAAATAAAAATATTTTTCGGAATTTTTTTAAATTTTTATGAGCTTTGAATAGAATTTTGAATTTGCATGTTTGGTTATGAGTTATAAGTTTTTTAATCAAATATCATATGTCACATCAAAAATTTCAAACTCAATTCAACACTCTTTTCAAAACTCATAACCACACAAATTTTTCACACTCAAACCATAATTTCAAAACTCACAAACTCAAAATACAACTCTATTCTCAAATCATAATTCTAAAACTCTACCAAACGCTACCTAAAGCGCTACTCCAATAAATATGTATATTCTTCAATCAAAAACTAAGCACAAATGAAATTACATCACATATTTATAGGCCAAGGCCACTAATAGCCTAACTAATAGAACACGTAGTAGAGAACTTAAGACACTTAAGCATAGAGCTAAGCATAGAACTCATTTTGACACTTCCGCATATATTCTACTACAACAGCACTCCTCCTCTTGAAGAAACTTGTCCTCGAGTTTAAGCAATAATTGAGTGAGCTCAGTGCAATACCATGCATATAAACCTTAGGCGAGGAATAGGTGATGAATCTCTGTGCTCAACATGAACATGAATCTCACAACTCATGCTTCTACGAATACATTGTACTGCTTCCTTGGTGAAACAACCATAGGCGCACAACTGACAACTCCCATCATGTCCATACCAACCATGTCGCTAAAGCTTGGACAGACTCCCATTTTCCTAAGCCTCTTCAGCTCTGACCCGTAGACTAGTGCAGACAAGTACTCATCTTGCCGGGACGAGACCACTAAGTTGGCAAATGACATCTTCCAAAACAAGGTTGAGGGATGTGACAAGTTGACAGGATTGACTATGCATCCACTAGAAAAGAACAACTTGAGAGAAACTGATCATGAGCTAGAATTCAACACCACACTCCTTTCCTTCCTCCAGACACAATTGCTAAAAGCAATCTACTTAACTCAAAAACAACTTCCTAAGAGGAATAAAGGAATACCAAACATACAACTTCAAAGAAGCTCTTTGAAGCTAGCAAAGTTACCACTACCTACTTGCAAGAGGTTGCAATTACTACACCATTTCTAAAGCAACAACTGATCTAGTCATTTGTTTCATCTCATATCGATGATTTTGATTTTGAATAACATCATTCCTTCCTATTGATAGATATGCACCAACATCATCACTAATGTTCATAGCATAAACTCTGCCCTCTACCTATTTGAGCCATCCAAACAAAGCACAAACACTCTGACTGAATCAAAGAGGAAAATCTGCAGAAGTGAACCGAAGTCGAACCACAATCGAACCAAACTCAAGCCACTCACAAGATCTAAACTAATCAAATACACACCAGTCAAAATCAAACCAATTCGAATACAAATCTAAGAGAATCAAACCAAATCGCATCAAAGATGGCTTCAATTAGGCTTTAAGAACACAAAAGGAAGGATCGAAGACATTCTAACCAAATTTGAGGGATTTTGAACTAGATCTGAGGGGAATTGAACCAAACTTGAGATCTCTTAATTCTCAATCTCACTAATCAAACTCAGATGCAGAGAACTGTGAGACAATCAAACCACACAAAATAGTTAATTGGCTCTATAAATCATTCACAATGCTCGATCAACAGTCAATTTGAGATCACGATTCGAATCGAAGTTCAAAATAACGAATTAGAGTGCCATCATAGCTTTTTGCATCAGATCTGGGTTTTATTTTTTTGGAGGCTTAGGGTTTCCAGCAACAACATAAGGTTTGAAATGAGATTTTGCACCATACGTTGTTCAGTTAGGGTTTGAAACCTAATTGAAACCTAGATTCTTGTTTGAGTTGATGCAGCTAGGGTTGGAAATGATCCAAACTCAAATCACAACTATGATTCAAGCTTCAAACAAAGTTAAATAGGTGCCAAATGATCTAATCGAAGGTCGCGACTACAAAACGAGGCCAGACCGGAGGTAAAACATCTAGTTAAGGTTCAAAATTGTTAGTTGAGATGAGATCAAGTTTGAAAATCCACAGACAGAAGTTGTGATTCAACTTCAATCACTGAGAGCTACGATTCAACTTGCAAAACCAATTTCTGACTTCGAAACACCCCAACTAGGTTTCATGACTCCAAATCGAGATGTAATCCCATTTTCAGGACTTCAATCTACATCGAGATCAAGTCGCGAAGCGGACATCACGATCGCGACAAGTTCCAGATCTGGTATTCTGAGTTCACAACTTTGTAAAGGCTACAGGTAGCAACAATAGATTGGATTAGGTCAATGAGGAACCAGTGGCCGATTCAACTTCTAATCCAGACGTGAATCTGTTGAAGCAACCAATTAGGGCTTGCATGCAAGGACTGGTAACGTTCCTCCTATCTGATTGGTGAATTTAGCTTCAATTTGGAACAATTAGATATAGAATCTGAAGCTCTGATACCAAATTGATGCAATCAAGAATCTAAAATCAAGCGAGAGAGAACAAATCCCCAATTAGGGGGTAAGACCCTAAGGGGTTAGAGAGAGAACCCAAAGTACAAATGAAATTACATCACAAATCTATAGACCAAGACCACTAATAGCCTAACTAATAGAAGACTTAGTAGAGAACTGAAGACACTTGAGCATAGAACTCAAATTGACACTTTTGAGAAAAAGCTATTTTAGTAACTTCATAGTTTTTTGGCTAAAATATGAGGTAAAAGAAACTACAATGTTTGGGGTGACTTTTTGATTTTTTACAAAAAGATGTGCAAAAAATAGAGAGAAAAGGGAATCTTTGACTTTTTTTATATAGATTGTTGACTTTTTTATTTTTTTAGTAATTTTTTGGCTTTTAAGCTAAAAGTTGAATTTGCCAAACGAGGTCTTACCCTATATATTCTACTACATCAATTATAAAGAAGTGGAGTGGGAATAACATTTCCCAAAATATACCACATTTATAATTGTTATCTTAAATATTAGTTTATGAGTAGTTCAAAACATTTTAAAATATTAAATAGTTTATAGAGGTACCATAAATCAATTAGATATTAACAAATGTACCAAAATCTTAGTGCTCAAATTATTTAGAAAGAAATAATAGTGTTAGTTTAATATTCCCAAAATATGTAATATTCACTTTATGAATTACTTGAATATGTTACATTATTGCCAAAGAATAAATAATTCTCTAAGAAACTAGTACTTTTGATCATTCACTAAGAAAATAGAGCTTTTGATCAATTATACATTTAGGCATTTCCACAAATTCACGATCCGTTTTGTGTGTCTATGGCTCTAAGCAATAGATATGTGTGTGAGCCCAAGTGTCCGAAGCATATCCATTTCTATAAATATATTAAAAAAAAGATAACTAGACACATTTGGACACGTGCCCAATGCATCTTAGAAGTGTTTATGCTTCTTAGATGTGCATTAACTTGAGGAGGGCTCTTAGGTGCCACAGTCAAAGAAATGGGGGAAAAGAATACCTTGAACCAAGCTTCAATTGCCCATTCATGCAATAAACAGATTACTTTAAACAAACTTACAAAATCAAATCCACTGCATTCTTCTTCTTTCTAAGAAAATAAAGACAGAACAATCCTACCAATAGACAAAATCATTCATTTACTTTTCTCAGACATGAACCTTCAAACAAGTTAACTTATATCAGGAGGCAGATATATGATCAAATACCAAATAAACCAATATTCACCAAAGACTGACACTCTAACTCATCTAAACCTAACCAAATTCAATGACATCAAAATCATAGAGAATACCTTGAAAAGGTTGAAAGGTGTCTGTTTCTGAATACGAAAACTACGAACTTTGTCATGATCCACAAGATCAAAATATACATCCCTTCCAAGCTGTTCAAGAAGGTCCTCATCACGAGCAACCTGAGGAATCAAATAACTGATTTAGCAAACAATATTCCATAAGGCAGATGCATAATTGGCAAAAAAGTAACAACTTTAAGGGGAGAGTTTAGGTCTTTGTAACCTTTATGATGGTATAAAGATGTGCCTCTGCTTTTTCCTTTCTCTTTTGCTCTTTTTCTTCTTGTTCTTTCTTCAACCTTATCTTGAATTTGATGTCCACAGATCCCAGTATAATTTATTGGGGAGAACAATATCAGGAACTCAAATCACAAGAACAATTCAAAAATCTTACCCTAAGGTGTTCGGCTATGTCCTTTTCATCGACATTACATATTATTTTCTCCTTATCACTTTCGCGTATATACACAAGCATATATGCATTAGAGTATTTTGTAAACTTAAATGGAGAGTTGTTGAATCCAGGATTTGTCTGTGGTAGCTGTTGGATACAAGCATAGTACAGAACAGACAGTAGTTAAATTGAAGATTAGGATAACCTAGACCAGAAAACTTAGATTTCATAACTGTACAAAGGGTTACCTCTTCCTCACCACCATACTGCTCCTCCAATGCCCTCTTCATGTCCTCTTTTGTTACCCGTTCATCATCAAATTTAAACCTGTATGCACCCAACTTGCAGTGAATTCTGACGATTAACCAAATGGTAACAACTTAAAAGATGATTCACTATATCAATAATTTGAAAGCTAACCTCAAAACAAAGTATAAGTACTTGCTAAACAATACTAAAGCAGTGATAAAAAAAGTCTTCAAAATGCCAACGAGTACAAAGGAACACAAAGAAAGGTAGAGTATAGCACAAAACAATGTTGTTGTGCCAACAATCGACCAATCACGCAAACATTATTACGAATATTTATTTCCTTCAAACTATGAAGCACATACACCTCACCAGTGGCCGCATATTGGTATCCAACATATATCGGACATGAAACACCCTCTGAACATGTAGTGGACATGCTAGAGGAAATGTCCCCAAAAAAAAATATTTAAATTCCACTCGGGCACACTGGAGATGCGCTTGGGACACGTTAGGGACAAGCTCGCGACACATTCAACAAGAAAGAAAACAGTTTTTTTTTTTTTTCCTTACATTTGTTGTGGGTAACCTAACTATTTGAATGCGAAAAAAAAAAAATTTAAATAGTGGATAAACTGCATAATGAAATGTATAATTATTAATTTTTTATTGTTATGATATAGACCACTATAACCAGCAAACAAAAATTTAGATTTCTTTTTTTTTATTTAAAAAAAAAAAAAAAAAAAAAAACTTGGGGGTTTTTTTTTTTTTTTTTTTTTTTTTTTTTTATTCTTTTTTTTTATTTAAAAAAAAAAAAAACTTGTGGGTCACTTATTGATCTTTATGGTGCTTCCTCTATCAATTAGATTCGTTGTCCAAAGAATATGGCAGCTAGGCATATCTATTTCTTCATATTTTGGCTTCTATGAAGTTTCTTTCATTATAAAAATTGTTGTTTTAGACGATGTATGATTTGCAACTTTATTTTATCACTTTAACATTTTTGATGGAATGCTATTGTTATTATATCTAGATGTTTAAGCCAAGGATGGAATATGTGGGTTTTCAATTTTAGTTACTGTTATGTTGCATTTTTTCATTATCTTTAAATAAAATATTAAAAAATATATGACACATAATAAATAGTCAGGCAACAATGCCACAAACTCATTTTATGCTTCCATGCACATTATATCAGTCTGTCATTTTACCCTCAGTCTCTCTTTTTGCCACTCTCACTCTCTTTCTCCCTCTTCAGTCTTACATTCTCTCTACAAATCAAACCACCCATACATATGCACTAACACTCCATTCATCAATCAAACTACATTCCTCAAACCTAGACCATCCACCCACCATTAACACCAACCAAACTACCACCTCACCTCCTTTATTCCACCACCATTGTTCCATTATCAAAGCCAGGACCCCTTCTATTCCCTTTACAACACTGTTCTTATAGAAAAAATACAAACCAAACCCAGAAAGAGCTCACTCGGTATATGCTAATGTGTATATGTGTCATGACCCGAACCCGCCCCTATGGGTTAAGGACATAACCGGCCAGTAATCCTGAGATTACCTACGGCCTCAGACCAAAACAGACTTAGTTACTGTTACGTTGCATTTTTTCATTATCTTTAAATAAAATATTAAAAAATATATGACACATAATAAATAGTCAGGCAACAATGCCACAAACTCATTTTATGCTTCCATGCACATTATATCAGTCTGTCATTTTACCCTCAGTCTCTCTTTTTGCCACTCTCACTCTCTTTCTCCCTCTTCAGTCTTACATTCTCTCTACAAATCAAACCACCCATACATATGCACTAACACTCCATTCATCAATCAAACTACATTCCTCAAACCTACACTATCCACCCACCATTAACACCATCCAAACGACCACCTCACCTCCTTTATTCCACCACCATTGTTCCATTATCAAAGCCAGGACCCCTTCTATTCCCTTTACAACACTGTTCTTATACAAAAAATACAAACCAAACCCAGAAAGAGCTCACTCGGTATATGCTAATGTGTATATGTTAGCAAACAAATCTTCACCTTCCACTTCTATTCAAACAGATATTCCTACGGTGAACAGATAAAACTTTCAAAATCACATATATTCACATAATGGCACATAAAATCATGGTAAACACATAATCACACTCAATTTAAGGACCAATTAGCATATTACGGAACAGGGGTATTACAATATGTTAGCAAACAAATCTTCACCTTCCACTTCTATTTACATTTTCTTCTTTTTATCTCCATTCAATCTTTCCTTTCCTATTATTTTACATTTAAATCTTTTCTTTCTTTCCTCACTCCTTTTTCTACCCAATTTTTCTAAATTATTGACTCTATGGTTTTCATGCTTGTCGATTCAGCTTCTTATCGCCATCAAACTCGCCAGCCAGTGTATTATGCAACCATTTGAGTATCTCTTCAATCAGGACGCCCAAATCATCACAGACCGAACCAAAGACCCAAATCACCCAAAAATAGACAGAGGTGGGGACAAGATGGGAGAAGCGTAGAAGTTGTGACTGATGACAATGACCTTACGCTGTTGCTGGAAGGAAGCAATAACAGGAGTCAATGGTGGGAGAGGGGGGCGGGTGATGGAAGCAACGGCATGATTGGCATGGGTGAACCTTAATTTCTTGAAGAGAACCATGGGGCAAGCAACAATGGTGGTATTCATTTTTTTTTCATCTCAATATTTGATTACTGATCTCAACAATGGTGGGGGGTGAGGACTGGTAAGGTAGACTATATGGACTGCTGCCAGAAATTGTTAATTGAAGTAGGAAGGAAAGTACAGAGTGAAAAAATGATTTAAAAGAGACAGAAAAGTAGAGAGATTGAACCAAAACATCAATCTCGACTAAAAAGCAGAGAGAAACATTGGGTGGGAAAGAGAGTTGTTTAATATTGTGGAATGTGAACGCAGAAGAAAGGAGGAATGAAGAGAGTGTTAAAGTGATGTAAACAGAGATTGAATGCTTCGAGGGTAAAAATGTCAAACCATTATAATATCCATGTAAGCATAAATGGCATTATCGCCACCCTAATAAATATATAAAACTATACTGTGTGTCCCCCATATATCATGTCCTGCATTTTTTTAAAATTTATGTGTGAACATATTGCATCATGTCATGGGTCCGTGTGTTCGTGCTTTTTAGCCTTCAAAGCTTTGCTGAGCAATGTTAAGCAAAATATATAGGTTAAACATATAACCAACAAAAACTAACAATCAAAAAGAGCAAAAAACAGTACAAACATATATGCATACCACTGCTCAGAGAGGGTTGGCCTGATATAAGCATAATAATGTCCACCATGCACCCCACCACTATGAACCAAAACACTGCAAACAAGCAATACTTCGTTATAAACATTGCGATACAGAGTGTCAATTACATGCTGATATCCATCAATCACAATTACTAAAATCAAAAATCAAAAGAAAAGGTATTATGGAAGTCTACAATGTACTTTTCACATAAAATCTAATTTTCTTGGACATATAATACTATCTGAACAGAAAACAAAAAATCATGCCCCAACAAAATAAAAAATAATGAGAAAATGAAAAAGGAAATAATAAATGATGATACAGATAACACAAATGAATAAAATACATCTCCATTCACATCAAAAGGAGAGATGAAAATGTGTGATAAGGACATGTAATTCTGGAGTGCTATATAATTGAAATATGTGGCCAATATAGTATAAAGATGCCACACCACTTCAATTCCTTTGTCAGAATTTCATTTTTTTCCAGGGGAGGGAAAAAGAGAGGAAAGTGCTACATTGACCAAAGAGTCATACAACAGTAATCAAGAATCCACCTTCCTCTTTTGTTCTCAGGTTTTTCTTTGGGGAGAGGTTTCAATGGATCCATGGAGGCTGCCTCCCATTGAGGCTTGAACCCATAACCTTATACTTGGTTCCATATCACAAGGATCAAAATTTTGTTTCGGTATGTTCTTTTGGTTAGCTTGGAAACGGAAATGTTTTGAAATGAATTTTCGAAAACATAAGTGAAATGAGGAGGGGGAAAAAACATTTGAGAACAAAAACCAAAACCTATATAAATGTTAATACATTCGGAATAATTAAATAATTGAACATGTTGAGCTCTATGAATATTAGAAGCTCATAAACAAGGTTTAAAAACTTAGTTATTGGTTTGCCATTGTAAGAAAATACATTTGGAAAATGCAAAATACTGATAGCAAAAGGAATGAAAACAGAAAAAACAAAGTACATTGCAGTAACAAAGAAAGAAGGAAAATAAGTGGCTTAATCATGCATGTTTATTTTCTCCTTTCTATCTCTTCTCTTTTGTTTTTAAGTTTCTCAAATTCTCTAATAAATTTAATATTTTTATATATTCTCAAGTATTTTCTTTTGACAAAAAGAGGCAAATGGAAATAAGCATTGTTAAATCTTCTTAATAGGTGTCGAAATAACTCATTGTTGCGGTATGTTCTCTAGTGTTTCACTGTGTTTTGGAATATTTCAATGGAAATATTGAAATTTTGCTATGCCACTATTATTTCGTTATGGTTTCCTAGGAAACAGAAATGTTTCGGCCATTGATAGAAACAAAACGAAATTTTGTTCTTCATCTCATCATCCAACCACCAAGCAGGAAGAGAAGACATCTTTCCCCTTTAAATTTAGCAAACATAAGATGAGGATTTTTTTTAAAAAGATCTACAATTAGATACCATTTTCTAAGTTGATATTTGTTATCAACATATTGGATATATTGGAAGAAAAGCAATAAACAGAGAAGTAAGGAAACATGCAAAAAAAGCGCCACCTGACAATTTCATATAAATTTATCTAAAGAGAGCAGATGTTTCACAAAACAAAGCAGTAAAGGTATGCAAAGATTTCCTGGAAAGAAAATTAATCAGAGGCCTATTAGCATAAGATAAAGCCACTTTACATTTTCATATAATTTTATCTAAAGAGAGCATATATTTCAACAAAACAAATTGTGTAAAGCTATACATTAAGTAAAATTTTCTGGGAAGAAAATTAATGAGAGGCTCACTGGTATAATGTAAAAAAGAATAAATACCTGTGAAGGGTATACAAGTTGCGAACACTCCTATCTGCTTCAGGTGACAAATATTTGCCATCCTCTCTGTCAAGATCGAGTTGTAGAGGGAACTCGTAGCGGTCATTTATCTGTTTTACAAATGAAACAAGATGTTTCAGTAATGTTTTAAATGAAAGAGGTTATGTGTGTGTGTGTGTGACAAACAGTTAGTGTAAACATCTTTCACAAAAACAACTAATTTTAAAGTGGGAGGAAGCAATAGTTTAAGAAAAGTTCCCTCATCATTGAGCTAGTCTGCTCTCAAAATCAAGCAGACAGTCAGAACTCTAGAGAAGAGGTACATGAGAGAGAGTTGACCTTGCCCAACTCAAATTATACAGTTCATTCCAAAAGCATCATATGGAAGGAAACAGTAAGACAACTAGAAAATAAAAAGAAGGGTTATTCTAGAACCTAAAAATGATAAAAGCAAAAAGACAGATTCTGATTGAAATATAAATGATCCATTAGATAAACTAGGCACAGAGTGGGGTGGGGTCCCTTTAAAGCTAGGCATGTTATCCATAATAAAGCAAGAAAATCAGATCATGCCAAATGACAAGATATTAAGTTTCTTACATGATGAATGATACTATGGGCTTTGTGCATAGATCAGACAAACATATGCTGCTGGCACGAGACTCATCCACTTCCACTCAAAAGTTACAGACTTGGCATTTGAACACATATTTGGAGGACCTGATATTCAGCTATTTAGGGACCCTAAACAGCTTTTCCATTGAAGCATTATTTCCAGAGCCCAAAAGTTTTTCATCAAGTAAAGAAATGTATTTAAATCAGGGGGAAAGAATCTCGGACCTTCTGTTAACATTATCTTATAAACAAAAATTATTTGGGCTCTAAAATATACAAGGGCTGAAATTGGAAATGACAAGGCAAAAGCTTGTTCAATGTTCACTTTAAGCACACCTAGTTTGGCCTGGTGCAAATGAGCTCAAAATGACTGAGACTCACCAATCATTCAAAAACAAGTATCTTTGAAACATGTAGCTCCTTCATGACTAACTAGTTATTTCATTTTTCATGGAGGCTTCAACAATAAGTTTATAACCCCAACTCAATTTATTACAGCAAGGACACGATTTTCTCAATTGGTTGAATGAACAATCTATTCAAATCAATTTTTCTGTGAGACTCCAGGTATTGTCATAGGCAAAAGGCTGAACAGCTACGTTTGGTCCTACAATATAATATACACAATGTGAAATTTTATTAGAAAAGCATTTTTCGGAGTCATGAATTGTACATGGCTTCCTGCTATTCCTTTGGTTCAATGAGAGAGAGAGAGAGAGATTGGGCGTCAGATGTAAATAGCATTTGAACTTGGGTGGGTTCAAATGGCAATGACCCAAGCTAAACTCAAATTTCAGTTGTGCTTGGACAACTATCTATCAACCTCAAGCTAAGCTTGGCTGTAAATCCGCACCACAGTTTGAATTTGGGCAAGGTTTGATTGGGAAATGGTCTCAAACAACTCAGCTTAAATATATGCATATAGTACGTGTATTAATTTATTTATTTTTTTCTCAGCCAATCTATGGGCACTAAGATTATGTTGTAGTTCAAGAACATGTACTCACAACACAGGAATTCTCCCCCTTCTAAAAAACCAAAGTCCTAAGTTCAGCTGATTAAAATGGGCAATTTTTTTGTCTTTGAAATCTTGCAGCCACCTTTCCATGCCACCACAGCACCACCAGTCCGCTCCACAGCAACACCTCTTCATTTTCACCACATTGTCCTGCAGCTCTTGTTTGTTATAGAGCCCTTATTCATGTCACATATATTACTTTCTGTCTCCATATATCTTTGTATATCTCTTTTGACACGTATTTTATATATATTGCAAAGGTATTGCTCAGTATAATATAAAGACACGGGCGTATATAGTTTGTGAATTTAATATCTAGTATAAATCCTTTGGCTCCACAAAATTCAAAAAGAAAAAAAACAACTCACTGCACTACACATATTTTCTTTTCTTTACACAAAATTTATAATTTTATATAGTTATTATATTATAATATAAATATTTCATTCAAATACAATAAAATAATGTAACATAACACTAATTCCTAAGGGAGTTCAGAACCAAACATCAAGCATAAATTTGTAAATGTCGCAACTGACCCTCCCTAGAAGTGGAAATGATCTGGGGAACTTTCCAGAAAGCTAACCATGATCAAGCCAACGACTCATCTATGCCCTCTAACCTTTGCTACAATCACAAATAATCCAAGAGTGTCAAAATCTTCGAACTAACGACAAAAAAATCCCAGTTTCAAACTATCCAATAAAAGAAAACAAGGTATCACTACATAATCATAAACAAATAATGTAACACAAAAATGAACACATCCCTCAATGTCAAAAGAATTCACCCTCTATATTTCTTATGAAAACAAGCTCCTAGATGCACTCGAGGCATGACTTACACTTAGGCCTGGGTGCCTGATTCAAAGTCAAGAATTGAATCTTGCATCAAATACCATCAAAATTTCCACATTGGCAATAATTAGACACACAACTTCAAAAGTTTTCCAAGCTTGAAGAACAAAAAACACTGTAAAGCATCAGTTTTAGCTTATTTTTTCTTTTTCTTTTTCCTTTTTGATAAATAAAAACCACCAGTTTAGCTTCTCTATTAATCACGCTCTTATTTCTCACCATCCACAAACAGTGAAGGAAAAGACCAAATGGGAAAAACAAATTGTGTGATACCAAAACATTCAAAATATCAGTACAGCTCCCGAGAAAAAAGGAAAAAATTTCAAATTGATAAGGAAGAGGACATTGCATCTGCTTGTGCAGCAATTGATGATGCAAATCTGCATTCCAGCCTGCTCAACAAACATAATGCATAAGCTAGGGCAAAATAAGACCAGTAGGGTAGAAAGATTGTTAATCTAGAGCACCTTGTAGCAAACATCACATTTAAAATGACTTAACCATGAGGCAATGCAGACCTTTAAAGACAGAACGTCTCCAATGGAATTTTTAAACCTTTCATGCATGCAGTGTCTCTTGGGTGTGTTAAGGGAATAAGGATTGTGCACCATAAAGAATATCGAGTGTGTTTGGTTTGGTTTTGGGAGATAAATTTTTTTTTAAAAAATTTGGGAGTGAGTTTAGAAATTTTTTTGGTTTGTTTGGTTGTATATTTTGGAAATAGTTTAAGAGTATGGAAGTTTGGGATGATTTGATATTTTGTTGTAGTTGAGTCGATGTGTGTGAGAGAAAAAGTGATTGAGAATGAGAGAGGAGAGAGAAAAGGTGATTGATTGATGTGTAAGAGAGAGAAAGTGATTTTGGAAAAAAAATTCAAAAAATTTCTAACCAAACAAAATTTTGAAATTTTTTTTCAAAAATTGTGTTTTGAGAGTGAAACCAAACAAGGCCATCATTTTTTTCTTTTTGTCCTTTTTGCTGATGAGAATGAAATTGGCCAGAACTCCTACACCTCACTAGGAGGTCAGTGGTTCAAATCTCCCCACTTGCATATGGATCTTATTCCCCGTGTATTAATTGGGGCTTTCTCTCCCACTTTGGGAGTTTCTTTGTATTGATTATATGTTGTATTTGATCATTATCATTATAATTGTTAATCATTGGGCTTCATTGTAATATCTTATATGAATCCAAAAAAAAAAAAAGAATGAAATTGTTACATTTACAAAATGTAGCTTAATTCTAGTTTTGTTAAAAAATAGAAAGTTGTCCATGGCAACAGGCATACATATCTAGTAGAACAGAGCTACACAAATTGTAAAATGAAGCATACCATTTTTATTTTATTATTGAATTTAGCTGATATGCTGCATAATTGTACAACACTAACAGTGATCGGATTGAACAGACAATGCATACCATACACAATCATAAATAAAAAAACAAGTCACAAAGCAAAATACAGATTTTTTAATACTAACCTTTACCATGGTATCCCGCATAAAATCATATTCAAACCGTTTTAACTGAAGTTGAAGGACAGGGGGGAAATCAATGAACAGGACACCCTTCCTTGCATCCTGGAAAGGTCAAGAATTACAGCATTTCTTTATGAGACAGAACCATAGCATTGCGTCCGGCAATTGGATCCAAAAAAGAACAAAATGCTTGTCAATTATAATGACAAAATGGACAACTCAATTGCAATGAAAATTTAATATCAACTTAATAAAGCACTTCGGCTTTGTTCAGACCGGCATACAAAATGGTTGATCCAGGTAAAGCTATCTTGGAAATTATTTAGAGTGAAATTCAAATCACAGGGTTTCAAAGCATCCAACCTGTAACCCATATTGTTCAGCATGGTATTTGTTATCACCCTCGAGACGTTCCACCTCCACATATTTGTCGAAAGAAGCATAAACATCACGACAGCCCTTGACATCAAGCTGAAGATCTACACTCAAAATACATATAAGTCAGTAAAGCTTACAGATATATATCTCAAATAACACAGTGGTATAACTGTAAGTTAAAACAAGTACCATAAAATGATTCCTTTCTTGTTGATTTGTAGTCCACATTGATGCATTCTATATAGTTCATATGGTGACCTTCAAATAACTGCTGTATTGTACCCTCCACAACAGTTCCCTGAGCCAGTAAAACCAGAGTCAAGTATAATAATCAACCTCCTAGCACTAAATACAGACTGTGAAGTCCATGATGCTATTAAATCACTATACCTTCATTTTATCTTCAAGCTTTTCACAAAGCACTCTGTTAAGTTCTTGCACGTCATGCTGCATGAAAGAATCATATGTATCCCATCCGAAAGACTTCGTCAACTCTTTTGTTGCTACACTAGTGTCACTGTACTGGAGCTTATAGAATAAACTCTGCAAAGCCAAAGGGATGCTCCCTGAGGGCATATCATTCTCAGTTGTTGGCATATGATACACAGCCTGAATAAAGTGACCCAAATAAGGCATTTCCTCATAAAATAAAATCAATCAGACAAGTTGAATGAAAAGGCAAACCTTTCTGAAATAAGGAATATGGTACAATGTCTGGAGGAGAGAGTTCATGTAACAAGTAGCTCCTTGATTTTTAAGACCTACATAGCCAGTCTCCTTTTTCGAGTCATGTGACCAGTAATCAGTTACCCTACGGACAGCAACATCAGCTTCTACTACAATAGTATCATTCACCAGATAACCTCTACTGGGGTCATACAGTTCACTAAGAGGCATGAAAGAAGTGAAACCCCAATCACTTTCTCGTGCATTGAACTGGTGTTGTGTGTCTGCAGAATGAAAAGCATCTCAATTAGCATCAAACCAGTAATAGGCTTTAAACCTAAAAAGAAACAAAGAAGTATAAGATACCAGTTTGCACAAAACTTTATCTGTCTAACATCATCACCCCTGATCTGACATGTAGGATCAATTACCAAGAAATTTTTGTTCCAACCACAATTACAGGCATTTAATTCAACCGAAAGTTTATGATTTCCAACAGCAAAAAAAAAATATTAAATTGGCCCATACAACCCTCACTCTCCCTTGTTGGAAAGAGAAGGGATGCAACCATCTCTTGACTGCAATGCAGTCAAATAGGCAATCATTAATAAAAGAACTTATGTTGAACTAAAGACTTTCTAAAACGTCTTGATTATGAACTTAAACTTTCCAATGCCACATAAGTAATGTCTCATCACAGAAATTTCCCTGCAAGCACTGTACCGTCCCCACAGAGAGAGAGAGAGAGACGACATCTACTGACTACAACACAACCACATCGTGCACAAGAAGAACATAGCATTGAAGTAATAGATTCCAAGAACAAAAATACTTGTTTTCCCTCATAATTTCCAAAGCCTCCCTCCTCCACAAAAACAATGCTGCAGCTGCCTTTTTTTCCCCTTAGTGTTAAGTAGTTGTCAATTGTCAAAAAGAAAATAAAAAGGCACCTGAAGTTTTGGTGCAATCACATGGAAATTGGGACAATTAACTTTACTAAAATAGTTTTATTGGCTACCATGGTATCATAAGAATGATTATTTGAAAATGGATATCTTCCAAATCCAACTAGAAAAATAAGTAACCACTTAACTTTTAAAAGGTTATTCCAAAACACGTTCTTCCATATCAAAAAACATACTGTAAAATATTTGGAGGACATTGAGAAGCCTTAAAAGTTGATGAGACTTTCATCTCGCACAGTTCCTAAGTGATGAAAGAAAGAGGAACTCATCTCCTTTGTATTTTGATTACCTTCCTCGCATATGTACAAGACCAAATCCATCCAATTTTTAAAAAGGATTGTCAATCCTTTAACTTTCTGAGGAATCTTTAAAAAATGTAGGCGAAAGAAAAGGCCATCTAGTGACCACAATGCAATGTATCACTGGAATGACAATTTTCCCAGTATATCCATACTAGGGCTACCTAGCAAGAATTCTTAGTCATTCAACAAATTAAAATATTTAGAAACAAATTATTTGGCATTAACTTTATGGGAGAGTTTTGAAGAATTCTGAAGGTTGAGAATCTTGCTACCTATACAAATGCTTTGACTTGTTACCTCTCCCCTCTTTTGCACTGCTACATCTTTCGTTAAAAAGTTTGAGCACTCTCAAGCCAAGGATGGCCAGATCGGAGATGAGTTTGACATCTCATGAGTTTATAAAATGGAATAAATTTGTAAAGCGAGAACTTTGGAAATCAAATCAATTGTGCAACTCAACTCAGATGTGTTCAAAAGTAAAAATTTAATAACCAATTTAACATTTTTCTCTTCAATCCATACCATGTGGCCTTTATTGATATTAACTTCAGAGAAATCTAATACTAATTATTTAATATTAGATTATGAGAAATTTTCTTAGAGAATATCAATTTTATTTTTATTTTTTTTAAGTTAAGTAGCAATAGCAAAGAACAAGAACTATAAAGACAACAAAAATTAGAGCATTCTAAGAATGAAATTGAAAGGAAAAAAATAATAAAAAAACACTTGACAAGAAAAAAATTGAAGATAGAGAGAGCCTACAAAGCATGGATACTTCTATAAGGGAGTTGTATCCGTATCGTACCCGTATTGAAAACCGATATTCCTTGAATACTCGCAAATATGTATCAAATATTTCCTAAATGTATCTTATATTTGATGTTATTTTTTTAGAAATATCGGATACTTTTTGAAACACTCTAGATCACATTAATTAATTTGCAAGAATAATTTGAAAATAAAGTATGAGAAAAAAAAATGATATAGAAAAGCTTGGTGACAGCAAGATCAAAGTACAGCCAATAGTAAAAACAACCCATAAACACAAGCCAAAGGTCATCCAAATTTTTGTTAATATCTTTATCACAACAACAAATAATTCCTTTATGTTTATATTTAGTACAAAACCAAAATGTACCATCAACTTATCAATAAAGAACTTTTTTCTATGCAACCTAGGCATACATATGAATAGTCACTTGTAGTTACCCCTGTAGAAGTTATAGAAACTTAAAATTTGAATTACATGTATTTTAAACAGGATATATAATGTACACAAACCAAAAAATGTACCTTTCCTCACTGTAAACTTGTTATGAATTTGATTGACCACAGCTAAGCTGAATTGGGCGTACCTACTCCACCCATATGGCAACGTAGCCGAATCCGCAACATCTAGATACATTGACAAATGGTCCACATTGTTCCCCTTTGGGAATATTAGCACCCGCCTATCCCGCCCAATACAACAAAATAAAAAAATCTTTAAGATTGATCAGTGAAGTTCAAAATCAAGTTCCAGCTAAATGTACACTAAGAAGAAGTCAGAGATCAAAGTACCATTTGTATCCTCCAACATAGAAAACTTCAGAGTAGAGCTTCTTAGTATTCAACCTCGCAAAATTTTCAATTGTCCATGTGAACCGCGCCGATGGCGGATCATCAACCGCCTGAGCATCCACTGTATTAGCAGTTTCTGCTGGTGCAACTGACAATGATTGAAAGTAGCACCAATCAAAAACCCCAAAACCCAAACCAAAAAAAAATACAAATTGCTTACACATAGAAAACACATAAAGTGGATTGGTACCGACTAAAATTGAATAAAAACCTAAGCTTTAGCTAAATTGATACATGAAAAGATCGAGGCTATACCTTCCATGGGTTGAGGACCTTCGGTGGCGAAATCCGAATGCGGCACGAGCATCTCATCGTCCTCTTGCTGCACAAAACGGAGTCAGAGTGAGAGATTGGATCTGGAAAAAATAAATTGAGCACTGTTGATGAATCGAAGCCCTAGAAATGGAACATTGTTGCGAGGAAATGGCAAAATTGAAACCGATTCAGAAGCCAATCCAATGCAGAAATGAATTGCAACAGCTCAAAGATCAAAATTGGATAGAGGTCGGAGAGAGAGAAAGAGAATAAGAGCAGAAGAGTGAAAAGAGAGTAGATACATACGTATATGGGACGTGTGTAAGTAGAGAGAGAGAGAGAGAGAGAGAGAGAGATGATTACATCTAATGGTGGAGGCGTCACGAGAGTCATGGATGGAGGTTAGAGAGTGTCCGATCAGAAAATCGGAGAAAGTTGTAGTTGGGAATTTGTTGGGCAGACAGCGGGGGAGGAGAAGTGTGTTTGTCACAGTGTGTGTGTGTGAGAGAGAGAGAGAGATGCTTTGCAACGTAGAACAAGATTGGTGCTTTTCCAAATTAAGCAAAATTAGTAACTTATTTTTTAAATTAGGTCTACTTTTGATGAAATTTTTAAATTAGTATTACAAATCACACTTTCAATATTTTGAGTTAAAAATTTGATAAATAGTGAAAATCACGCTTTCAACACTGTCCCAACCACACAAACACTACACTCGCAAACACACTCTCTCTCTCACTCTGACACAAATACAAAAAACACAAACACGACTCACACACACACTCAATATATATATAAATTTTATTTCATAAAATTAAAATCAACATTAAATATATATAATCATTTATAATAACAAATAATAATTAACTATATAAAATGATTATTTTTTATTTTAATTCTTAATTTTTTTTTATTTTACTGTTTAGCGATAAAGGTTATTTTTTTTATTTTAGGGTTTAAGGTTTAATTCTTAAAATTTATTTTTTTATTTTAGGATTTAGGATTTATAAAAAATAAATAAATTTTAAGAATTAACCTATAAATTCTAAACTCTAAATCCTAAACCCTAAAATAAAAATAAAAATAAATAAATTTTAAGAATTAAACCCTAAACCCTAAAATAAATAAATAGATAAATTTTATCCCTAAACACTAAGGTAGCGTTTGGTAACATTTACGTTTTTTGTTTATGTTTATAAAAATTTTATAAACTGGCTTCTGTTTATTTTTAGAAAAACATAAATTACAAACGTGTTTGGTTTGAACAAAATGTTTAAAAAAAATTTAAAACATAAGCTAAAAAATATGTTTGTTCAAACCTAAAATATTTATATTTATATTTATTATTTATGACAATGGGATCACACATATTATAATTGAAAAAAAAATAATTAAAAAAATATTTGAAAAAAAAATAATTGGAAAAATTGGTTTGTAAATTATTGAAATTTTTTTTTGGAAAAAACGGGTTTATATAAATGGTTGTCTATTTATAACATTTGGGAAAAAACGTAAACTCAAAAATGAGTTTACGTTTTCAGTTTTCAATTTTCAATTTTTTTTGAAATTTTTTTTTTTTTCAATTAATTTTTTTGCAATTATTTTTTTTAATTTTTTTTTCATTATAATATGTGTGATCCATTGTCATAAATAATAAATATAAACCACGTTTTTTTTCAATAATTTTTACAAACCACGTTTTTTCCAATTAAATTTTTTTTCAAATATTTTTTTAATTAATTTTTTTTCAATTATATATATTGTGTGATCCCATTGTCATAAATAATAATATATAAATATAAATATTTAGGCTTGAACAAAACATATTTTTTAGTTTATGTTTTTAAATTTTTTTTAAATATTTTGTTCAAACCAAACACGTTTGTAATTTATGTTTTTCTAAAAATAAACAGAAACCAGTTTATAAAATTTTTATAAACATAAACAAAAACGTAAATGTTACCAAACGCTACTTAGTGTTTACGGATAAAATTTATTTATTTTTTTATTTTAGGGTTTTAGGGTTTAATTCTTAAATTTATTTATTTTATTTTAGGGTTTACAATTTAGAGTTTAGAATTTATAGTTAATTCTTAAAATTATTTTTTTATAAATCCTAAATCCTAAATCCATAAAATAAAAAAAATTATCCCTAAACAGTAAAATAAAAAAAAATTAAGAATTAAAATAAAAAAGTAATCATTTTATATAGTTGATTATTATTTGCTATTATAAATTATTGTATATATTTAATATTGATTTCAATTTTATGAAATAAAATTTATATATATATATTAAATTATAAATATATATTAAAATTTATATATATATTGAGTGTGAGTGTGTGTGTGAGTCGTATGTATGTGAGTCATGTTTGTGTTTGTGTCAGAGTGAGAGAGAGAGAGTGTTTGTGAGTGTATTGTTTGTGTGTTTGGGGTAGTGTTGAAAGCGTGGTTTCTAACCACGCTTTTTTCACAACACAATGAAAGCGTGGTTTGGAACCACGTTTTCTTCAAAAAATATATCTACAGTGAAAGCGTGGTTTGAAACCACGTTTTCTTCAGAAAATAAACTTACCTTAAAAGCGTAGTTTGTAATAGCGCTTTCACTATTCATCAAATTTTCAGCTCCAAACAGTGAAAGCGCGATTTGTAATAGCGTTTTAGCCTAATTTGGGAATTCCGTCCAAACTAGGCCTAGTTTGAAAATTAAGATAGTAAATTGGCTTAATATGGGAAAAGCCCCCAAGATTGGAGGACTTCACCTAAGTAAAAATAATAAGTAAAAATAAAATAAAATTTTGAACAAAATAAATTTTTATTTTATTAATTTAAATTATAATCTTTTAATTTAAAATATTTACTTAATTTTGTTAATTAAAATCGACAAAAAATAGTATTTTGATCATTAAATTCAGGTCTCGTTCAGGAACATATTATTTTAATAATTTTTTGACTTTTTACAAAAAGATGTGTAGAAAAGTAAAGAAAATGATGTGACAACTTATAGTGACTTTTCAACTTTTTAGCTAAAACTGAAGATTGTCAAACGATGTCTCAATATAAGTATATATAGGAGTGTTTTGGAAAATTAGTAAAAAGCTGTTTTTTTAACTTTTTTGAGACTTTTTTTTGGTAAAAAACTGACTTTTTTGGCTAAAAAAACTAAAAAACCAAAAAACTGACTTTTTAAGCTTGTTGCCAAAATGAGCCATAAAATGTCTAAAATATATATTTTTATTAATTTTAATGACTAAAATTGTGACACCCTGAACGTTTAATTAAAGGAAATTTTTTTTTAAGGTCCCTGGTATTAAGATTTTATAGCATAAAGGACACTCAATATTTTCATGATATCTAAGGTCCCTCAACATCAATCCAGAGAAAATTTAATCCGGAGAATTTCTCTGAATTCAACCCAGAGAAATTTCTCTCTGCACTCTAGAAAAATTTACTCATTCCTAGAGAAAATTCCCTCCAACCAGAGAAATTCACTTGTTGTCTGCAGTTTGATAGAAGAGTTCAAGAATATAACCAATACGAGACACAATGCAATACATGGAACTAAAGAGTGTGCATCTTTATATTGATAGCCCACCAATGCCTTGAATCAACACTTCTGTTAACACTGTAAATTTCTCTGCCCTCCCTTCTCTAAATTTCTCTGCCTTCCATATACTTCCCACTCTCCCAGAGAAATTTCTCTGCATTTCCACAAAATTACATCTCCAGATAAATTCTCTAGTTTAGACTGAATTTTTTCTGGATTGGTCCAGAGAAATTCTCTAGTTAATTTCTCTGACCATCCCTAAACCTCCCACTGAAAATTTCAGTACACAACTTGGATCACAGTAAGCAAAACAAACCGTCAAGATCTTTAGTGACAAAACTCATAATTACACTTCTGTCATTCACACTGAAAATGCTTAACAAGATAACCCTCTTGCTTTGGCTAATAAAGAACTACACTTCTGTAATTGGAACAACCATTTAAATAAAATTTAAACAACAGTACCAGCCTTAAATTAAGAGAGCTAGAGAGAGAGAGAGAGCTTCATAGCTAATTTTATCCTTCAATACAACCGGTTCTTGCTAATTTTCTCTGGGTTGGTCCAGAGAAATTCTCTGGTTTGGACTAAATTTTCTCTGGGTTGGTCCAAAGAAATTCTCTGGTTAATTTCTCTGACCTTCCCTAAACCTCCCACTGTAAATTTCTCTGGCTTTCCCTTCTCTGCAGAGAAATTTTTTTCTCTTGCCTTCCTTATACTTTCCACTATTCAGAGAAATTTTGGAAATTAATTTCTCTAGCGGCATGGTTAGAAAATAAGATAAACTTAATCAATATTCAAGTTACATCACAAGTTAGAAAAGAAGGTAAACTCCTCAGGTTCTAATGAAAACCTTGGATGAACAATCAGGGACCTCAGTGAAAATTTCAATACACAACTTGGATCACAGTAAGCAAAACAAACTGCCAAGATCTTCAATGACAAAACTCAGAATTACACTTCTGTCATTCACACTGAAAATGCTTAACAAGATAACCCTCTTACTTTGGCTAATCAAGAACTACACTTCTGTAATTGGAGCAACCATTTAAATAAAATTTAAACAACAGTACCAGCCTAAAATTGAGAGAGAGAGAGAGCTTCATAGCCAATTTTATCCTTCAATACAACTGGTTCTTGCTAAATGCACTGTTCATAATCACTACAAATTTTCACATTATGATGTACCGTTGTATACAGATGGGGGATTATATAAGAGGGAAAATCAGATGAATTTTTACATGGAATTTTAAATTTTACAACAAAAATATTCAGAGCTAAAATTAATGGCTACACATTTTCTGAATTTGTGTCATCAGAAGATTTAAGAAATGGCTCCTTGCTTACCTTATCAGGATTAGGAGTGGTGGTCATTTTCTTGGTCAGATAGAGCACATAATGTTGCAAGATAAATAGTAGGTCGAAGAAGATAGACACCTGCAAATTTTTATTCCACCAAAATCAATGCAGTATAATAACAGTGTGTATAAAATAAATAATTCTTACAATAGTCACTCATCTTGATGCTAAAAAAACTGAACTTCACAATCAATTTATATTCATTTTTGTTTGTCTTCTTCCTTTATTGTTGTTTTATATCTTCCATATTAACCAATATAGTTATGATAACAGGATAAGAGTGATGCTTTCACGAGGATAACAAATAGCATTTATGAGAAAGAGGAGAATGCTCCATACCGAAGAGTATGACAATTCTGTTAATTTGAACAATTCTGGGAAGGAAATGATCATGAAGCTCTTATCCACCGAAAACACCTTTGAAATCACCTCCAAAACGAACCTCACCAGATCGACACAGTCAACAACTTCTTCATCGCAAACACTTAATATAGATAAACTTCCAGTTCTCTCCACCAACTCTTTCTCTTTCGTTGGATACACATCGATATTGATTTCGACGAACTTCAATCCTCGTTCTCTGAAGAACGATCGAACCACACTGCAATCTCTGCAG